GTCGCTCGATCTAATAACGAAATATTGATCGAAATTACCGGTATCATCTGCCCGCTTATCATCGTTACGATGCTCTGCGGCCGACATCCATCTACGTCACCGTCTTCGTCTCCCGCTGCCGTTTACGTCTACGTCCTCTCATCTTTAACTCCTGTATCTACGATTCTGTAGGGTTCTCCCAGGCCGCTACGTTGCATAAGCCACGTTGCAGAGGCCACGTTGCATAAGCCACGTTGCAGAGGCCACGTTGCAGAGGCCACGTTGGATAGGCAACGTCGGATAGCCTTCGTCGGATTGCCTACGTCGGATATAGCTTACATCGGATAGACCTCCCATGTCGGGCCTATGGAGGCGGTGCATCTTAATTATCTTCCCACTAGTAGACGATCGGAGTCCCAGGTAACGGGTTTAAAGCGTGAGATGCTGTTTGCGGAGCCAATACGGGGAGAACTGGTACACACTACAGCAGCGGGGAAAGGAGGAGGGGGAGGGGGAGCAGGAGCGATAGGAGCAGCAGCAGATGGGTACTATGGGACAAACGCCCTGCATGTATCGAATCCGCTTGGCTCAAACGCGATCGAATCCAATCACACCGAATCACATCCCAGCCTTCCACCAGATTCTTTTCGGAAGGAGCATCATGCTCTGGAGGCAACAGGCAGGGCATCGGTGCTGGCGCCTACCCCGGGAAGCAACCATGGGGAGAGCTCCCCTGCTATCAGCTCTCTGTCAAACTCCTCTCGATCTGAGTACACTGTGACGTCTCAATCGTCGATGCAAGCAGCAGAGCAGCAGCAGCAACACCACTATCAGCAGCACCAGCAGCAGCAGCAGCAGCACCAGCGGCAGCCGCGACTGCTTCCCGTGCCTCCTGACGTTAACGTCCAGGCACAGCAGCAGCAGCAGCAGCAGCAGCAGCAGCAGCAGCAGCGTCGAACCCGATCCACCAGCAGACTTCTCTTCAAATGCCCCACTGACGTTCCACGGGGGACTGATGCGTCTGAAGCTGCTGTCGCTGCTGCAGCTGCCGCTGCTGCTGCTGCAGCCGCCAGGGATAGCACTCAAAGCACTGATGCAGCAGCAGCAGCAGCATCAGGGGCACATGCTGCTCCTGCACCGGCTGCTGCTCCTGCTTCTGCTGCCCAGACCTTAACTCACTCGATTGCCTCGTTGCTTCCAGCAGAATTGGGACGGACCTTATCACTTTCAAACACCTCCGGGCAGATGAAAGACCGCTCCTCTGGACAACAGCAACAGCAGCAGCAGCAACAGCAGCAGCAGCAACAGCAGCAGCAGCAGCAGCAGCAGAAAGAAAGCTCTGGTGGGGAGCTCAAGTCGTTAACGTCGGCTTGTGTGACCACGCCTGCTGGAAAGGAGTATGATATTGTTGCAGTTAGCTTTTGGCTCGCTGCGTTGCAGGAGGGGTGCTCGTTGGTGAAGCTGTCTAAAGCGGGGATGGGGAGAGGCCAGCCGAGGAGCTTCGTGGTGGTGGTGGAGAATGGAGGATCGGTGCGTGGGTGAAAGAAAGGGTGGTGGGTGGGTAAGGGAGGGAGGGAGTTGATGGGATTTTTGGGTTATACTGCTGCTTCGGTTAACATGGCTTTTGCTTTTTATCAATAGACCACCCAAGAAGCTTTGTGGTGGTGGTGAAGAATGAAGGATTGGTGCGTGGGTGAAACACGGAGGGTGGGGTAGGGGGGAGGGAAGGATTTGACAATCTTTTTATGGCTATGCTGGTGTTGTGGGATTGCTAATGTGCTAACCACCATTACCCCCGCACCCCTCTCTCTTCCCACTTCGTTATTCTTTCGTTCCCTCATGCCTTGCTTATCTCTATCTCGCACACCCACCCCTCCCTCTTTCTCATGCTCTCTCCTCCCCTTCCCCTCCTCCCTTTCCATCTCTCTATTCCTCTCCCACACTCACACACACTTGCCCCTTTTATTTTCTCTTCTTAATTCTCCCGCTGTCCAGTTGTCACTGAAATGGGAAAAGCACGGTCTTATGGGGAAAGTGGCAAGATCAGGTGGGTCTTAAGTGAGACAGTGTGTGCATCTGCATGTATTTTGACATGTGTGTGTGTGCGCGCGCGAGGACGGGCGCGCACTTATGCACATGTATACGTGCATGCGTTTTTTCACGGAAAGCATGCACGTGTGTGTGTAGGTGTGTGTCAACACCTTCGCTGTGGGAGGAAGGAGTGACAATGGGCTTACACCGTGACGAGAACAGAAGAAGTTTACCATTGGGCCAAATCACGTGCTGTGCGAATGTCATATTTTTTAGTCGACTCAAAAACCGACTCATTACAGGAGGCTACCATTCACATGCTGTGCCAATGCCATATACGTGCATCAAGTGTCCTTGCCTTCAAAACGCTACCCTCCAGAACAGACCTGATCAATGAGTTGTCTTCTCCTCCCCGCTGCCCCTCCCTTTCATTTCTAACCATTTTATCCCAACAAGCCCAGTCTGTAGTCTCTTTCTGCCCTCCTTTATTCTGTATCCCACCCCTCCTCCCCCCCGTTCATTTGCCCCTTACTTGGAGTTTTGTTTTGTCAAAAAGCTCAATACCCCACCTCTCCCTCTCCCCAATGCCTCCCTCCTTCATACATCACCACCACACAGCCCATCTGCTCTCCATTGAACCCACTAATTCAGCTTTTAATGCTCCTTGAAGTTGTTCCGTCACAGAAATCAATGTTCCTCCTTTCACTCTCCCCAATGCCTCCCCTCTACACACATAATCACCAGCATACAGCACAGCTGCTCTCCATTAAACCCACTAACGCAGCTTGTAATGCGTCTTGAAGTTGTGTTATCTCAATACTCAATATCCCATCCCTCCCTCTCCCTAATGCCTCCCCTCTACACACATAATCACCACCATACAGCCCAGCTGCTCTCCACCGAACCCACTAACACAGCTTCTAGCCTTCTAATATGCCTTGAAGTTGTTCCGTCACAAAAATCAATATTCGACCTCTCCCTCTCTTCCCAATGCCTTCCCCCCTGCTCACATCACCACCATACAGCCCAGCTGCTCTCCACCGAACCCACCAACGCAGCTTATGAGGCGCCTCGAACGTTGTTCCATCACAAAACCAAATATGTCTCCTCAATGCCTTCCCCCCTGCTCACATCACCACCATACAGCCCAGCTGCTCTCCACCGAACCCACCAACGCAGCTTCCTGGGAGTTTCTCATGGAGACCTCTGCAGGGGCCATAGTGGCGAGAGCACCGTCAGAGGACTGGTTCCAGATCTGGACGGAAGGCATGGTGTCAGTGTTTGAATATGCGCGCTCTCTGAGGGGTTATGGGAGCAGCAGAGAGCGGAAATAGGTAGGTTGGTGGGTTAGTGGTGATTGGGGGTAGGTGGGTGGGTGGGTTTGTGTGTTGGTTGGTTGGCTTGTGTGATGGGCCACTTGGGCTTGCAAGTTACGGTATGCATTTTCACGCCGGGATTGTTATCCCGGGTAGATGAAGGATGAGATATACGCTCAAAATGAGATATACAAAAGGGATGAGAAGGGCTGAGAAGGAAAGGATAAAAAGCGGTTGAAAAAAGGGTTGGATTGAGAGTATTTGTTATAACCTCTTGGGTGGGATGCTGGGTACGTAGCAGGTTGCTGGACGAAAGAGGATCCAGCACATGCTGTGGGGGTTTCGTTGGATGGGTGTTGTGGGGGTAGGTTATTGTAAGATGGCTGTAGCTTCTGTGGCTGGAGCTTATGAACACAACTTCCACAGTTCTTGCCTCTGTAAGGCAGGTACAAATGAAATGAATTAAATGATGTTGCAGGCCGGCATTTATGAGTTGACGGACAGACGGGTCTCTCGTAACATGCAGCTCTCACTCAAGCCATTGTCGCGTCGGTGTCATTACATGATACCGGAGGTAGTTCAAATTGGTAGGCAGCAACTTGCGAATATAAAAAACTGTTGGAACTACGTACACAATAAGTATTATAATTTTTAAACACATTCGTGTTTTTCAAAATTGTGTATTGTGAAAGCGAAGCTGCCTGTACCGAATATTTGGCAGCGTCGAAGCGCGCTAAACGCCCTTCTCCAACTACAAAAACCGTGGGTTGGAGTTCATTTCCCTCCACCCACGTTTCTCTATTTTCAACGGCTCTATCAACATTCCCACCACCCACCCCAGGGCTATCTTTCATACTACAGTCACTTGGACGGTTGGCTCCATAGCTAGTATAGTTCAGTATGTACTTGCATGTGTTTTAGAACGATGCAATGTTGTAATAGGCCAGTTGCAATGAGAACGATGCCAAATTACAAGGAACAGAAAGCAAGCTTTCTCAATTGTATAACAGATCGTTTATTCATTGTACCACCAGCAACGAACCAAGGTAATTGGACTAAAGAAACCCGCGCGTGGCAGGGAATGCAGGATGACTTGACCATACACACAGATGGATCGGCACCAACTGCTACTATATACAGTGGATATGCAAAAGCAGCTGGCAAGGGTGCAGAACAGAAGAGAGGGAGAGGAACCCAGCACAATTGGTGGTGCCAATAAGGAGAGGTCAGGTCAGATAAGCAAAGCCTCATTCCAGCAGAGTGGGTGGAGATCGGTTGGGACAGGTCACAGGAGGTGCTAGAGCTGTTAGCACAAGTGACAGTGCCTTGTTCTGCTGCCTGCCCCCAAGGAGCTGTTAGCAAAGATGTTACCAGCAGGCACACATGCCATGGTGGCTGACATGCCATGGTGGCTCACATGCCATGGTGGCTCACATGCCATGGTGGCTCACATGCCATGGTGGCTCACATGCCATGGTGGCTCACATGCCATGGTAGCAGGTGTGATGAGCGGCAGCGGCAGCAGTGGGAGCAGCGGCGGCAGCAGCAGCAGAGGCAGCAGCGGCGGCAGCAGCGGCAGCAGCAGCAGCAGCAGTGGCGGCAGCAGCAGCAGCAGCAGCGGCGGCAGCAGCAGTATCAGCAGTTCTGGGCAGTAGAAGTGACTTCTGAAAATCGTCACTGTTGCTTCCGATGGCCGCTTTTTGTTGATGTTGCTGCGGGGAATGGATTAAGAAATGGTTGCGGAAAGCATAAAGGGTGGGGGGATGGGAACGGAACGCCAGGAAACGGGAGGCAAGAAAGAAGGGAAGAGAAGAGAAGGGGTAGAAAGGATCAAAAGGATCAAGTTACTGGAACTTTGAGCGTGGCTGTTCAAAGAGTCGAAAATGATATGAGAAAAGGGAATGGAAAAAAGCATAAAGATTTACATGCTGAGTCAAACACCCCAGGTTTGCCAGGAAAGCATGTCGTTTTTCCTTAGCCCGAACTCATATAGGCAGGATCTACAAAGAGCAGAGACTTACATGATGAGTTGAAGAGCCAAGAGATGCCTGGAAGGCAAGTCAGCCATTGGATCATTTTATGGATGTGCTTGTACATGTCTGCAAGGAGGAGGCTCCCTTGATAGTAGCACACCTGAAGTACAGGCGTGGGAACCAAGTAGTGAAATAACGGAACGTACAAGAATATTCAGGTACAATGAATATTAATAGATGCACGCAGATATGGATAGGCCAGTATAGAGGACAGGGAAGCTACAGGGAAGCTAGAGTGAAGGTGCGGGGAAGGTGTACAAAGTGGAGGAGACACAATGAGGAAGAGAGGTTGATAGATCTTCCCTCACCCTCATTATCATAACGCAGCTATACTAGGTCCTCCCTCCCAGAAGAAAACTAACGAAAGAAAGAAAGAAATAATTCAGCAACAGGGTGATCAAAGAAGGAGGGTGACCATAGCAGGAATTTGTGACACAGGCTTATCGCAGCAGGGTAGGAGAGGTAAAAAGGGAGGAACGGAAAGCAGAAAAGGGGGCAAAGAGATTTATTACAGCAGGGAAGGAGAGGCCGAGCGCAGAGGGCGAGTATCCCCGGGAGAGGTTGCGAAGGATGTAGTCATGCCTGCGCGAGATGATGCGCGCTATGATGTCCGATGTTGATATGCCGTCTGTGCGCTGCGTGGGTATGAACTTGCCTATGCTCTTCACCTGGTGGGCAGAGTCGCAGATACATCAGTCACAGACGCCAGGTGTTCCGGCAGTAAGGGAAAGGAGGATACTTCGGAACGTTGAAAGCATGAATCAACAGATGGTCACGGGGCAAATCAGAGAGCACCATGGGTACGTACGTCCCAGCGAAACACAGTAATTCCGCCCTTTTCACAGGGAAGAGGTGACTTTCCACACCCTTCCCTGCCGCCTCGAAAGACTGTCACCGGGCAGTGCAGAGAGGCACACATAGGCATACCGTAGACACATTCTTTGAGGTGCCTCGGGAAACACCCAGCAAGTCACGTGAGACCCTAGCTTAGGGACGCCTCAAATGGCATAGGCCAGGCAGGGAATGGCTCACGTAGGCATACACGTCTTGAGCTTTGCTGGAGGAGCCTCCCTCTGGTTTCTGCCTGCCATGGAAAGCGCAGAAGCACAGGGGGCAGCGAGACGGGTGTGCGTACTTCTGAGTCGGAAAACAACGACGACAAAATAAAGAGGGTTCTGTCTGCCAGGGAACGCACGGGAGCACTGGGCAGGGAGGCGTGCGCGAGGAGAGTGAGAAAGAGAGAGAGCGAGGAGGACAGATTATACAACGACATGTAAGAGATGGAATGGTGGGAGTGGTTGGAGCGCTGGGAGGGGTGGGAATTTTGAGAATTCTCAAAAGTCACACAGATATCGCTGGGAGGGGTGGGAGTGCGCACATGTAAGGGATGGAGTCGTGTGCCACGTAGTCGATGGCATAACGGGCGATGAACTCCTCTGTGAGCACCCATGGCGCATTCTCCACCACCTCGTCCACCCACCTGCACATGCATGCACGGACATGCACGGACATGCACGGACATGCACAGACATGCACAGACATGCAAGGACATGTGCACGTACGGGGCACAGGGGACAGAGGGGTAGATGCACGCATGCATGGATGCACGCATGCAGACTAGGACACATGAAGCCATGCACGCATGCACACGAGCATGCACGCATGCATACATACGCGCCGAACCACGCAACATAGGAGAACAGAGCGTGCGCCAGGACGCTGCAGATTGTTTTTGAGAATTCTCAAAAACAATCCAGGGCGTGCGCCAGGACATAGGTGTACGTTTTGCAGAAGTCAAACGTAACAGCAAATCAGTGCAAGGGGCGCACAGAGGGAAAGGCAAGGCAGGAGAGGAAGAAGAGAAAGGATAGCAGGGAACAAGCAGAGGAAAGCAGAGGAGAGCAGAGGAGAGCGGAGAGAGAGGGCATGTACCGGCAGTGTTTGAGGGCTAGGCATCGCTCCTTGTGGTTTAGCACCGTAGGGCCTTTGAGCCTTGCTGTGTCCTCGTCATTGCAGCAACCCACTATAAGGTAAGTCCGTGGGAATCTGTGCGTGCAACAGCAGATGGACAAAACAAGAAACACTGAATTAGCAGAATGAAAAGGGGTTACTTCAACAATTCACCACTACACTCACGAGTCATTCCATGCGATCATAGATGCCCCAATCTTCCCCCTACCCTCCCCCCAACTCCTCCCATGCGCCCTACAGCTGTTTGGCCTGATACAGAGCCTGCGCATGCCCCTACCCACGCCCACTCTCCCCCAACACTCTGACTCTTCCCCGACTCTCCCCCCATGCGCCCAGGCCTACAGCTGTTTGGCTTGCTGCAGCGCCTGCGCATGTCCAAAGTGGAACAGGCCAAAGATCCCGTCCACATACACGCGCACCTCCCTCCCCCACCCTTCCCCCAACTCTCCCCCCACTCTCCCCCGACTCTTCCCCCAACTCTCCCCCCACTCTCCCCCGACACTTCCCCCAACTCTCCCCCCATGCGCCCTACAGCTGTTTGGCTTGCTGCAGTGCCTGCGCATGGCCGAAGTGGAACAGGTCGAAGATCCCGTCCACATACACGCGCACCGCCCTCTCCTCCTCGCTCCCCCGCTTCTCACTCACGCTCCCTGCGCTCCCCGCGAGCCCTGCGTCTTCCGTGCGCCCTGCGCTTTTCACGGAGTCGCCCCCGCCACCACTTCCCCCGCTGGCACTGCTGGCGCCACTTGCACCACCGCCACCACGTGAAGGATCTCCGCTTATCACTTCACTCGCCGGGTTCCCCCTCGCTGCGCCGATCTTCCCCGCTCCTCCCCCATCAACCCCTTCCCCTTCTCCGCGGCTCGTACCCATTCTGTCACCACGATACTCGCGTGTAAACGACTCCCTTATGAGTCAAAACGACGCCGGGACTTCCGAATTGACGCGCTGATTCCACTGATTCCTTCCGCGCCGAGATTCCTTGCCACTATCTACCCAGCGCCGCTGTGATCGCGGCGACAACCCGACCTCCTCCTGTAGGCATGAAATTGGAGCTCGCAGCTCGTAGCTCGTAGCACACAGGACTGAGATCAGCACCAAGACATGCGCCGGAAGGGACTGCAGCAATCCAGGAACGGCGTTGTGTGGGAGTTTGTAGAGATTTGGACGCGTGGAAGTGTACCGTATGGGAGCGCTTCCAGTCTGATGTTGCGGGATGTTGGCCGCGTGGTGGCAGGCCAAAGAAGCATGCGAAGTGCCTCACAGCTGGTCCATGCTATAGTCAGTTGCGCATCAACATCAATTCTACATTCTACTGTTTGTCATGTCAATGCAATTCTTAGACATTGAAGTACTTCTGGAATTTGGGATTTGTTTGTGCATGAGACGTCGATAAAAATAGAGAAAACGTTCACAAAAAAATACAAGAATTGTACTCTAGCTCTGAAATACATGCGGATTTACAAGAAAAAAACGCTTATGAAAGCTGCGAAATTTTATCGTTCAGGGTAGGTTGTGCAACCATTAGTTTCCATGTGTGATCATTCCTCAGTATATGATTCTGGCATTCCAGAGTGACAACTGCATAAATTGGAGTGAAGTATGTAGGTGATAGTTCTTGCCCACTGGGTCCTCCTGACCAGGTCAGCAAGTTGCAGCACCCACGTCAAGTCTCTCAGACCTGACGCAATCGGCTCGGCAAATGGGGTATGATGGGCAGCGAAGTAACTTTGCAGGCATCGCTGCTGTACGCAAATTCTGAATGTCTCATTCGCGAGGATGCTCTGCGAAATGCACGAAAGCTCTCGCTGCGAACTCCAATACCGCACGTGCATTCACGTCGAATGCGTGCCCTGCATCCCATGCAAACGTCACATCTGGACCAATCCACGACAGCAAGAGGCAATAATTGGCAGCGTGGCAGCCAGTCAAGCAACGTCCAATCCAGCTCACTGCTGCCATATCCTCCCCAGCCATCCTCGAACGCAACGCCTGTCTCAGCATTGACGGTGTGGTAGCACTATCTGAAGCGTAATGTAGATAATTACCGCACTACATCCATGTAGAATACCGAAAATTATTATTTCACCGAGGGGAATCGCAACGACAAGCTGAATTCGAAACCATACCACAGCAGTTTCTCCCCACCTGGACGAATGCATCAACTGCGATTGATTTCATGTCAACTCACCTCACAACCACGACACACCACTGCGTACACGTTTTCCTCCCTCCTCCTGTGACCACTGTGCCTACCCTTTTCAGGATGCCAGCGGCGGACAACTCAGAGCACAGTCGCTCGCCTAATCTTGATGCGTTGTACATTCGCTCGTTGCCGCCATTTTCTCCAGGCGTTGTCTGCTCCTAGGTCTCGTGTTGCCCACTCAGTAAATGTCCCTCGCATCATGGTTTACAGCCATTCTTAGCAATTTTTACTGGCTCGTTAGAGAATGAAATTTGCGAAGCCTTTGATAGTAGTATTTTTCCGAGAACCATAGTTCCTTGAAAGGTTCAAGCACACGTTGAGTCAATACGGACGTGTAGTCTGTGCGGGAAGCCCAAGGCTCCGTATTTTTTGGGTAGAATCCTTATTACGGCGTAATGGCTTCCGTCTGGTGCCTCTCAGTTTCAACAGGCATTCCTTTTGGATAATACAGTGACAGCATTATATCATCTATCACCGCTCGACCAATCCCTGAGTCGCAGAACGAAATCGTAGTAGCCTAGATACGGTGCCTCTTTAGAGCGTGAATACTCATTCTACCTCAATAAACGAACCGCACCGCGTCTGAACCTCCTCAATGGATGGCCCTTCGTACGGCCGTGGTTACGGCGGTGCGAATGCGGAGTTTTATCTCCCGAATTATAGGTTAGGCAAGACGCTCGGTATAGGCTCGTTTGGTAAGGTAAAAGTTGCGGAGCATGTACTGACGGGTCATAAAGTGGCGATTAAAATCCTCAACAGGAAGAAGATCCGATCCATGGATATGGATGAAAAAGGTGCGTCCTTTGCGTAATTCTATCCACGGTCTGCGTTGAAGTCTGTTATTTCTTCCTTCCTTCCATCCTTTCTTGAGGTCCAATTTCCCTTCGAGAGGCAGACGATTCCGTGTGTCTCTCGCGTTGCGTTTCCATTTTCGCGTTTTCGTGTCGCGTTTCTGTTCCGCGATACCTCCCTTGTTCCTTGTCCTTAGTCCATCCGTACTCCATCTGCGCTTCACCGACCTGGCATTTGCGCTCCTTTCTCTTTTCCATTCGCAATTCAATCGCACTTCATTCTCACTTCATCCGCCAGTACGAAACTTCAAAAACCACCCAGGCACCCTTCTCCCTTCATTCTCATCTAGAATCTGTCCTCTCCTCCCTCCCTCCCTCCGCTCCCTTCATCACTCCGTCCATCAGTGAAGCGCGAGATTAAGATCCTACGGCTGTTCATGCATCCGCACATCATCCGGCAGTACGAGGTGATCGAGACGCCCACGGATATCTTCGTGATCATGGAGTACGTCAAATGCGGCGAGCTCTTCGACTACATCGTTGAAAAGGGCCGCCTCGCAGAGGATGAAGCGCGCCGATTCTTCCAGCAGGTGGGTGTCTGTTGTCATGCCTCTTTTCACGAGTTTCCGAAGTGGGAAGAACTCGGATCTTCACTGATCTTTCTCCCGCCCTCGCCATAGTCACCCGCTCTCCCCCCTCTCCCTCCTCCTATCCTTCCCCCCCTTCACCCGAGCTCCTCCTCCCCCTCCTTCGCTGCGCCCCCCCCCTAACACACACATCCGGCTTCCCCCTCCTAGTGTATCGCTCTTGCATGGTCCATCAAGGTGTGAACCATTCGGATCATTGCGGATTATCAGCAACGCGGCTGGAGTATTGCAATGTCTGCCAGTGCAACACAATGGTGCATGCACCGAGGCTTATGTCCTGCTTCCTCTCCCGTCTCTCCCCCTCTCCCTCACATTCACGTCTCCCCTTCCCTCATGCCAATCACATTCAGCAACGTGGAGTACCATCAGGTAAAACGCCTTGGCACATGCACCAGATTAAAAACCTCGCTGCTTCCCCTTCCTCCCTCCCTCACATCCCTGCCTCACATTCGCACCACGCTGCAGATCATCAGCGGCGTGGAGTACTGTCATGGACCCGTCATGCTACTCACACAGGGGCTTACTTAAATCCCGCTCACTCCCCCCATTCTCTCCCCCTTTCTCTCACATTCTCGCCCCCCCTTTCACACCATGCTGCGGTATCAGCAGTGTGGAGTACTGCCATTGGAACATGGTGGTGCACGCACAGGGACATTATCCCCCCTCGCTCTCCATTCTCCCCCCCTCTTCCTCACATTCCCGTTTCCCCTTCGCACCCTGCTGCAGATCATCAGCGGTGTGGAGTACTGTCACCGCAACATGGTGGTGCACGCATCAGAAATCCAGTCCCTCTCCTTCCGCTTCCCTCCTCCCCGTCACATACCCATTCCCATCTCCCCTTCGCACCCTGCTGCAGATCATCAGCGGCGTGGAGTACTGTCACCGCAACATGGTGGTGCACCGAGACTTAAAGCCCGAGAACCTGCTGCTGGACGGCAAGGGCAACATCAAGATTGCGGATTTCGGGCTCAGCAACGTCATGCGCGACGGGCACTTCCTCAAGACGTCCTGCGGCAGCCCCAACTACGCTGCTCCCGAGGTAGGAATGGGCAAGTGAGACGTCTTTCAGTGTGACTGGTTCAGCGTCGAGGTCGCGGATTTCGGGCTCAGCAACGTCATGCGCGACGGGCACTTCCTCAAGACGTCCTGCGGCAGCCCCAACTACGCTGCTCCCGAGGTAGGAATGGGCAAGTGAGACGTCTTTCAGTGTGACTGGTTCAGCGTCGAGGTCGCGGATTTCGGGCTCAGTAATGTCATGCGCGACGGGCACTTCCTCAAGACGTCCTGCGGCAGCCCCAACTACGCTGCTCCCGAGGTATGAATGGGCAAGTGAGACGTCTTTCAGTGTGACTGGTTCAGCGTCGAGGTCGCGGATTTCGGGCTCAGTAATGTCATGCGTGACGGGCACTTTCTCAAGACGTCCTGCGGCAGCCCCAACTACGCTGCTCCCGAGGTAGGAATGGGCGATTCAGATGGCTGTCAGAGTGATTGAAGAAGTGTTTTGAGACGTCTCAAAACACTTCTTCAAACAAATGGCCGATTCAGATGGCTGTCAGAGTGACTTGACATAGAAAATGCCGACGTAAGGGCTCGATGGGAGCCCCAACTATGCTGTTCCCGAGGTATGCCAGTTCCTCTAACTACGCTGCTCCCCGAGGTATGGCATTCAGCTCTTTGCGGTTGTTGGCTTTTTCTTTTCTTGCGTGCCATAGCAGTTGGTGGAATAACGTTTTTGGAAGCGAAGAGTTGGTGTATGGGAGTAGACAGTTGAAGCGCAAGCAAGCATGTGGCAATGCCGCAATGCAATGAACCCTAGTAGCAGCTGACACTGATTCTCAAAAGTCTCGTTCATATGCCATGCCATCCAAAGCTGTGGAATGCTTTGCGACGCCATGCCACGCCAAACCATGCAATGCCACGTCGCAACATGCCATCGATGCCTTCTTGTGTGCAGTTCCAGCCACGCATTGACACATGAAGTGTCATACCATGTCATCTCATGCCATGCCATACCATGCCATGCCATGCCATACCATGCCATGCCATGCCATCTCATGCCATCTTATGCCATGCACTGCTGTATACTCCCTCGGCAGGTCATTTCCGGGAAGCTATACGCGGGTCCCGAGGTGGACGTGTGGAGCGCGGGGGTGATCCTGTACGCGCTGCTGTGTGGCAGCCTGCCGTTTGACGACGAGAACATTCCCAGCCTCTTCAAGAAGATCAAGG